GGGGTCGCCTAAGATATAACAGTAGCAAAATTACAGTTATGAAGTCGCAATGGAAATAATTTTATGGTCGGGGGTCACCACAACATGAGGAACTGTATTAAAGAGTCGCAGCATTAGGAAGGTTGAGAACCACTGCTCCAGAGGGAAAAATGCTTGGGGAGGTGAGCTGACCTTCTGCAGCTGTTTTTACAAAAGCTGGGTGTGTTTCGGGCCCGGGCACCTGCAGGAGAATGAGCATCTCCTAGCCCCATGCCCACAAAGCTGCCATAGGGGTACAGAGGAAGCAGCAGAGACTGGGGACCTCAGTAGCACAACCAATTTCCTCTCAGAAAACCTTCTGAATCCGGGGACTGTGCAGCAGGAGCCTAAAAACCCACATAGAAACCCCCTGGGAAGCAGTGTGAAGGCCTTCAGTAGCCACATGAGACAAAAGCCATGGCTGGGGATCCCCCCACCACCAGAGGAAAGGAACAAACGGAATACATCAGGTTAAGCTGGCCTTGACAGGATCGCAGTGACCAGCTGCTATGCTACCTGCCTAGAGGAGGGAAGGGGGAATTTCTCTCGCAGAAGGTGACATCTGGAGCCTCCATCATTTTTTATATACAATGTCCAACATTCAATCAGAAGAGTAGTAGGCATCCCAAAAGATAAGTTTCCTGGACCCAAACCAAGAGAAAGCACAGACAAGAGGAACAGGCCATGGTAGCTAACTCTGGGGCTGGTGACAGAGGTCTTCAGTTACTGTGGGGATATGTACATTCCAGGCAGTTGAGGAAAAGATGAGGGAAATGCAGGGAATGATAAAGCTATTGCATAGAATTAGAACAGGAATTAGAATAAAGAAGTAAACATTCTAAACTATATTTAAAATTAAGAACTTATCAGGAGTTTCATAGTAGACTAGAAATTTCAGAAGACAGGATTAGAGCATTTAAATAGAGGGAAATTTCCAAACTGAAATACATACCAGAGAGAATGCAAAGTATAAGAACATTAAAGGCATATGGGACTCAGAAAGGTGTAATATAAATGTGATTAGAGTCCTAGGAGAGGAGAGAGAAAATGGGAAATAACCAATATATAAAGGAATTATAGCTGTAATTTTTCCAAAATTGATGAAAGATACCATTCCACAGATTCAAGAAGCCCTGTGGACCCCAAGCAGGAAATTCAAAAGAACATCACAACTACATATATCATAATAAGACAGATGCAAGCCAAAGGGAAATTTTTTAAAGGCAGTCAGAGGGAAAAGTAGGCACATTAACAACAGTCCTGCATCTTACTTCTCTAAAGACAGTACGATGTCTTCAGAGTGCTGAATGAAAGCAGATAAGTGACCACTATAAAAAATGAAAATCAAGCCCTGGCCAGTTTGGCTCAGCGGTTAGAGCATCGGCCTGTGGACCAGAGAGTCCCAGGTTCAGTTCCCACTCAATTGCAGTTTGTCCCCGGCCCCGGTTGGGGTAGTATGAGTGGTGACCACTCAATGTGTGTCTCTCTCACATCGATGTTTCTTTCTCTCACTCTCTTCCTCCCTCTCTCCCTCCCAATCTGACTGAAGATAAATGCAAAAACATCCTTGGGTGAGGATTAAAAAAAAAAAAAGAAGATCAGGCCCTGCCCAGTGTGGCTCTGGAGACCGTATCACTGTGACAAAGTCTCTGCAGGCCCAGTAGGGTGACCCAAAGCAGACTGCTCATCAGGGGAGCCAGTGCTGAGCAGAACCACCAGGCCATGTACCACCACTCTGCTCAGTCATTGCCTGGGGCCACCCCAAGCACAGCTTAAATCAGACCTGAACGCTAAATCAACAGGTGGAAACCATCAGCAAACCATGCTCCTTGCAAGTGGGCAGTAAGTGCCTTTCTTAAAGTTAATTACAGTCGATCTCTCTAATGAACACAGATGTAAAGATCCTTAACAAAACAGCAGCAAATGAAATACAGACAGTAAAAAGATATCATAGCCAAGTCGAATTTATTCTAGGAATGCAACTACTATTAATATTTGAAAATTAATCAATGTAATTCATCAAGTTAATGAGGAAGGGGAGAAAAACCATATGATCACCTTGACGGAGCAGAAAAAGCACTTGATAAAATTCAATGTCAATCCACAATGAAAACTTTTAGCAAATGTTTAGGAATAGAAGAGAACTTCCTTTACGTGACAAAGAATTTCTACCATAAAACAAGCAAAAAAGAAAAAAAAAAGTCAGCAAACATACTTCATGACCTAAGATGGAGAAGGAGGCAAGAATGCCCACTATTCCACCTCATACTAGAGGTTCTAGCTCATGAAGAAGCAAGAAAAGGAAATTAAAGGGTAAGTGCTGGAAAGGCCAAGATGACCCTGTCATTGTTCACAGAGGGCTCATTTTGTACACTGGATATCCAAAAGATATATGGACAAACAATTAATAAATAAGAAAATAATCGGTTAGTTTAGCAAGATACAAAGTCACCATTTAAAAAAATCAATTGAACCCTGGCCGGTCTGGCTCAGCGGTTAGAGTGTCTGTCTGCAGACCAAAGAGTCTCAGGTTCGATTCCAGTCAAGGGTACATACCTCGGCGGTTATGGTTCAGTCCCCGGCCCTGGTCAGGGTCATGCGGAAGCAACCAATTGATGTGTCTCTCTCACATCAATTTTTCTCTCTTTCTCTTCCTCCTTACCTCCCTCCCACTCTTTCTGAAGATAAATGGAAAAAATCCTCAGGTGAAAATTTAAAATAAATAAATAAATTGCACTTCTATATACAGACAACAAATGAATAGGAAAAAATTTTAATCATTTCATTACAATAAGAATAAATAACGAAAGATGCTCAAGTCTTCTGTACTCAAAAGTAAAAAACATTATTGAGAAAATTAAAGGCCTTAAAAAAAGAAGGAAATGTTCTAGTCAAGAATCAATTCTCTTCAAATTGAACTACAGATTCAATGCAGTGCAATCATTATCCCGCAGGAATTTTTCTAGAAACTGACAAGCTGATTCTGAAGTTTACTTGGAATGCAAAGGGCCAAGAATAGTCAAGGAAATCTAAAGGAACAATCACAGAGCTAATGGACTTCTATGCCAGACACCAAGATTCACAAAACTACAGTGATTCAGGGGGTGCAGACAGACAGCACACTGACTAAACAGAACAGAGTCCAGAAATGGAGCTACAGGTGCATTTTCCACCTGATACACAACAAAGCAGTATCTTGGAGGAAGAACTGGCTTTCCAATAATCGACAATGGGTCAAAGATATTCACAAAGAAAGAAAATGGCTCCCATCTCACATCACACACAAATTAAATTGCAGAGGCATCTTAACACCTAAATGTAAAAAGTAAAACAAGATTTCAGAAGCAAAAGTAGGAAAATATCTTTGTGACCTTAGGTTTAGCAAAGACTTCTGACTTACTAGATATGACAAGAAAGCACTATAATAAAGAGAAAAATGGGTAAATTAGGCTACATTAGGTTAATACTTCTCATTTATCTAAGGCCACAATTAAAAGTATATAAAGACAATACAAAGAGTGGAAGAAGGCCCTGGCCACTGTTGCTCAATGGTTAGAGCATCAGCCCGCACACCGAAGGGTCATGGGATCAATTCCCAGTCAAGGGCATGTACCTCGGTTATAGGTTCGATCCCTGGGGTACATGCAGGAGGCAACCAATCGATGTGTCTCTCTCGCATCAATGTTTGTTTCTCTCTTTCTCTCTCCCTCCCTGCCCCTCTTCTTTCCTTCCACTAAAAATCAATGGAAAAAATATCCTCGGGTGAGGATTAACCAACAAAAGTAGAAGAAGATATATGCAAAACATGTATCTGAAAAGACATGTATCTAAAACATATAAAAAAGAAAAGATAAGCAATTGAATAGAAAAATTAGCCAAAGATTTGGATAGTTCACAAAAGAGACTATTCAAATAGCCAACAAACATATGAAAGCATCATAAGTATTCAGGGAAATGCAATTAGCACCATAAGTTGATACCACAACACACTTACAAGAAAGGCTAAAATGAAATAAACAGACAATGTCAAGTGTGGAGAGGATGTGGAGCTCCTGGAACTGCACACACTGCTGGTGGGAGTGAAGACTGCCACTACCAGTTGGAAAGCTACCTGGCAGAATGACCTAGAGCTAGACAATGCTACCTCTGTGTTTACACCAGGACGAGCTTCTACTTCCACATGTTTACCAACAGATCCACAGAAGAATGTTCATAAGAGCACTATACACAACAGTCCCAAAGTGGAAACAACCCAAATGTCCATCTACCACAGAGTGCATAAATAAGTTCTGGCACATTCACAGAATACAATAACATCCATGAATAAGAATAAACTACTACACTTCACACACATCATGGATGAGTCTCACAAACAAAGCTGAACAAAAGTGCAGACTCCTAACACCTTTCATGTTATCCCATCTACATAAAACTCAAAGGCAGGTAAAGCCAGAGTTGTTAGCAGTTAGCACAAGAGTGTGCTTTGTGTGTGGGAGGATGTGAGTGCTGGAGGGAACACCCAGGGCCTGGGAACCTGGAAATGCTTCTCAGTCGAGTGTATTTACTCTGTGATGATATACCAGGTTATGTGCTTACGATTTGTGTCACATAAAAATACAGTATGAAACCAAAAAGATGCTAAACACAAAAAACACATACTGTATGATTCCCTTTAAACAAAGTTAAAAGTTAGGTAAAACTAAACTCCATTGTTCATAAATGCATATATAGATGTGAACACTTAGAACCAAAGCAGTGGCCAGTCACCATCAGTCAGTGAGTGGTCTCCTCTGGTGGCAGGAAGAGGCAGTGGTCTGAGAGGGCCACCTGGAGTGAGGCAATGTTCTATTTATTAGACAGCTGTGTTAGTGTCTCAGAAATTTGTTCTATCATGTTCATCAAGCATATGTCTATGTTGTATGTGTTACACATGTAGTATTTTACAACTACCCAGAGCCCAATTGCCTTCTGTTGACACTTGCCATAGGTGAGGGTGTAGATGGCCTTCCCAGTTGTGTCCAAGGCAGTCAGACATGGGGCTTTGGGCTGCATTGTGCCCCACCGCTGCAAGGCGGCCAGCAGTGTCGGCGGCCAGGGAGTCCCCACAGACACAGGTTCCCCTTTCAGCACTATCATCTGGCTTCCCTCAGGCTTTGGCTGATTTGGATCTGGTTGCTGAACTATAAACAAAATTGAAATTTAAAATCAACATTTCACAGTATCATGCACACATTTTATTTTTAAACATCTATATTTTATAATTTTGTGTTTTTTAAAAATATGAATTATAAAAAGATTACAATAATTTGTTTAGATGTCCTTATCATTATAATAGTCACAGACCAACTGACCAAAGGACAGAGGGAGATTGAATCATGGATAATGACGGATGCTGGTAACCATAACCCCACACGAAAATCCCCAGGGTGGCTGTAGTGATTGCCGGGCTTTCATGGGAATGGCCAACCTTGATGACACCTGAGAAGCAGGCACTAGTTAGTCCCTGCTTATAAAGGATGAAAGTGGGTAGAATTACCACTTTGCTCTGGGCACTCAAAACAACCATGACCACATTGAAAGAAAAAATAAAGTCTATTATATTTTCAATGAATATGTAACCAAAATTTGCCCAAGTGTAAGAAAGTCTGCCCCTGCCCTGGACAGTGTGGCTCAGCGATTGGAGGGTCGACTCATGGACCAAAGAGTCACAGGTTTGATTCCAGTCAAGGGCATGTACCTCGTACCTCGGTTGTGGTTTGGTCCCCGGCCCTGGTTAAGATCGTGCAGGAGGCAACCAATGGATGCTTCTCTCACATCAATGTTTCTCTCCCCACCCCCTCCATCCCTCCCACTCTATCTGAAGACAAACGAAAAAATATCCTCAGGTGAGGATTTAAAAAGGGATTAAAAAAATAGAGAGACTGTCCTAACAAGCATTCATACAATTGAATTTAAAAGGCCTTATCTGATTATAAAGGGGAAACAATGCCCTAAAAGCAGTGTCTAATCCTCAAGTAGAGGGAAACACCCAGAGCTGGTCCTCCATGGGTGGTGACAATGCACAAAAGAGGTATGAGGAGCTGAGGGGCTGGCCATGTGCCCCTGTGGCTCTAATACATTCACATGCTTGTATCGTGTATTGGGCTTTATTTCTGTTCCTTATCTAGAAGTTTATACTTCTATTTTTTGGTAATTAAAAATGAATACATTTATATTCTTTCTCCTAAATATATATCTCACTCATAAATAAGAGGTTAAAATTCTGAAAACGAGCCAAAACTTTGCTGAAGATATAATACTTTAAAACCATGGGAAGAGGAGTATTTCAGATTTAAAGTTTAAATAAAAATTTAAATAATGTAAGTAAAATGAAACCTTAGAAATATTCTTATAAAGTACTAACCAGTAGACCAGAGGCATAAAGAAATGTTAAGTGTCTTAAGCAATGAATTTTCCATCTGCTCAAATAAAGCTAGCAGTCACATGTGATGCCTAATTCACCATTACATATGATAACTACAGAGGCTGGCAAAAGAGAGAGTATCACTTTATTGTGTTATAACGTCACAGGAATAACATAGGATGTACATCTGCCTGTGTCTCCAGATTTAATGGTCACCCTGTTCACACACATGAGCCCAAGTGTCAGGATGCTCACCTTCCAATAGCTCTTCAACGTCATCCACGAAGAACTCCTTCAGTGGAGGGCGCTTTGGCCTCTTCAGGGTGTTCAGTAGCTGCTGGATTTTGGAGGACACTCTGCTGTTTACAGGGACACCTGTCATGGGAAGAAGAGTGCCAAGGCTAGCATGTCACATCTTCTGGAGAACAGGACATAACAATGAAGTCCAGTGACCAACTGAATGAAAGAAAAGTGCTGGCCCCATCAGACAGCCATTTTAAAATTTATTAATTCATTAACAAATACTTACTGAATGTCTTTTAGAAACCAGAACTTGTTCTAAGCTAATGGTTTTCAAAATGGTCCAGGAACCCCTAGGGGTGCCTGAGACCCTTTTAGGAGTTTCATGAGGTCAAACTACAGTTGACCCTTGAACAACACGGGTTTGAACTGCACCAGTCCACTTATATGCAAATTTTTAAATAAATACCTGCACTATTTTCGACTTGTAGTTAGAAGTCTATGGATGCAAAGGGCTGACCATATGCATTGAGCTATGCCAATTTATATGGGGAACTTGAATATTGCAGATTTTGATATCTTTGGAAAGTTCTGGAACCAATCCCCTATAGGTACTGAGGGACAACTAAATTTTTAGGGAGTCAAGTTATACACTGATTTTTTACTGTGCTGGGGTCAGCATCAGTGTTGTTCATGGGCCAACTGTCCTTCCCTAGTCATATTACGATAGCATTTCCCTTTTCACTCTCCTCCTCTCACAAGAGCATGGTGGTATTTCCCAGAAGCCATACATCATGTCACAGCACAACACACTGAATGGGAACGAGATACAGAACCTGATGCTACTATTATGCCAGCCATGAGACTGACTGGCAATAACAAAAAACAAGCCCATTCTTCCCCCTAAATTTTCATTTTACAAGTGTTTTCATAAATATGAGCAATGTATGTTAAGCTGTAATGAGTTTATTATTTTTTTAAATTAATAAATATTTTTTAAATCTTTAGTTTTAATTTCTAATATGGTAAATATCAAGAGCTACAATCCACATAAACTAAAAGCTCTTTCGTGTCCTCAATAACTATTAAGAAATGCTGTTCAGGGAGATGTAACATCAACAAAAAGACATAAAAAACAGTCTTCCCTCAATCAGATCACCATCTGCTGGATGAAAACAAGCAAACACACGTATCCTACAAATAAACAAGAACACCTGATGAGGTGATGAGTGCCCGAAGAACCAACGTGAAAGACGGCCGAGAGCAGGAGTAAGCAGGGCCTGAGCCCCAGCACACCCTGCCCTCTGACTGCAAGTGTGGCAGCTGACACCACACAGTGTCTTTCTACAGCACGTTCCCCCCTCCAACACTGGAGCCAGACTAAAACCAAGAAATGCATTTATTTGTACATTTCTTTAGTCTCCTCTAATGTGGAATATTTATTTGTCCTTTGTAACGCTGACATTTTGAAAGAGTACAGTTCTTTCTTTTTCTTAAGTAGAACATACCTCAATTTGAGTTCTATGGGGTTTTCATGATTCAATTCAAGTGCTGCATTCCTGACTGAAATGCTATGTGACATCACGTACAGATATATGCGACACCCATCCACCCTTGTGGAAAAGCTGACTTCATCACTCAAAGTGCTGCGTGGTTTCTCCACTACATTACTACTGATGCTTCTTGTGCAACTAACAAGCAATTATGAGGAAACACTTCAAGAGCAAATGAATATCCTGACCCGTATCAAACTTTCTCCTTGCATTTGACAGCCATACATCATTTTTGCCAGAAACAATTTTTACTGCAATGGCTGCAAAGTTATTCTGCAACTTTAGCACTCCATTTACATTGAGCAGCTGACACTTGGCATCCTATCTGTTGGTCATCTATCATCTATCTGTCTATCATCTATCCATCTGTCTATCATCAGGAGGACTCATGGGTGGCTATTTTTCAATTGTTATAAATCATCATGGTTCTATTTGATGCACAAATTGTCCTAGTTTTAGGCAGTGGGGCCCTATGCAAGTTGATTTGTGACATGCCCTCTCATTTTTTAAGCACTTTCTTATGTTCCGTCATGAGATGTTTCAGTTGCTTATACTACCCCCTGCCCTACCCTGGAATCACAATTTCTCCAAGCAGCCCTGGCTGTCCTCAGTGGGAAAGGAGTCAAGACCAATATCTGGTCACCGGGTGTGCTCAATGCTACTGCAGTGTCCTTGCTTCTTTCAACAGACAGAGCTAAAAAGTACACTGTATACACACACTCATATATTCATAGATACACATGCACATCTACATGGACAATACACATGTGTATACAGACAAGTGTAAACTGACACTGACTCACATCTTAGAAATCGTGAGTCAATACCAATACCTCAAACTCCAATCTTCAACATTGGGTTCTCTCTTGCCTTTACAACTCATATTTGGATATCCCTGCATAGTGAGAACCCTTCTCCCAACAACATCAACACCTTTGCTCGATACTACCATGTGTACAGAATAATTTCCAAATTTCTTCACACACAGCACTACAAAAACACCCTACTAACAAGAGTTCAAGGTTTATTTGCTGTGCTTCCCACCCAAAGTCATCCAAGGCTGAGGGTGAACCACCCAATACTGTGTTCATAAGTTATCTATATTAGCTCTCCCCCATCACCACCTTGAGTGTGGCTATTGTACTTCTTGGAAATACAGTTGTGTTTGTTTATTTCTGCTTGATTTCAGTTTTAGGATTTCTGCCCCCCTCTTTCCATACTTTATGTTTTAAAAATGCAGAAGATTAACAAACTTTAAATATCAAAACTACAGCCCTGGCCGGTTGGGCTCAGTGGTTAGAGCGTCGGCCTGCGGTCCAGAGAGACCCGGGTTTGGTTCCCGCTAAGGGCATGTACCTCGGTTGCAGTTTGTCCCCTGCCCTGGTTGGGTTATGCGGGTAGCAACCACTCGATGTGTCCCTTTCATGTCGATGTTTCTCTCTCTCTCCCTCCCACTCTATCTGAACAAACAAATGGAAAAATTTCCTCAGGTGAGAATATAAATAAATAAATAAATAAAAAATCAAAACTACGTTCTAAGCCAAGCCCAGTGCTGAGTGCTGGAAGCTCTACAGGTGGCAGTGGTCTGAGTTCCAGGGCAGATGGCTCCCTCCTGGTCTCTCTGTCCTTCCCCATAGTCCATATGAAAGCCTTCAGTCCAGTGAGGTCCATTAGGAAAAGCAGCCTTTTGGACCACAGCCTGGCCATCTCCCAGAGCAAAACACAGGTGGACAATCCGATGAGCCTGCTGCACAACATGAACAACTGCTACTCCAAGCTCAAGGAGCTGGTGCCCAGCATCTCCTAGAACAAGGTGAGCAAGATGGAAATCCTGCAGCACGTCATTGACTACATCTTAGTTTGCAGATTGCCCTGGACTTACACTCCACTATTGTCAGCCTGCACCACAAGCAACCTGGGCAGAGCCAGGCATCCAGGATGCTGCTGACCACCCTAAACAGGGACATCAGCATCCTGTCCTTGCAGGCTTCTGAATTTCCTTCTAAGTTCATGTCAAATGACAGCAAAGCACTCTGTGGCTGAATAAATAGTGCTCATGACTTTTTTTTTCTTTGTACAACAACAAATCCATGGGAACTTATTTTTCAACTATTTCACAAGGGGGACAAATTTTTTTAAATGTAAGCAAAACTAAGAAAGATAAGATCATCTTCCCTAGGATGTTTCTGACCTGAATTGTGATATTAGTTATTTATGAAAAAGACTTTTAATGCCCTTTCTACAGTTAGAAAGTTTTCTTTATATACTATTCCCACCATGGGGAGCAAAAACATTAAAATCACAAGGAATTGCCCAATTTAAGCAGACTATCTCTTTTCAAAGGTGAAAAGAGATGAATACCAGAACAAACCAGTATTCAGTTACTTAAATCAAGTCTTTTGGTCAAAAATTACCTTTTTGATGCAAGCCTACTAAATGCTGCGTGTGTGTGTGTGTGTGTGTGTGTGTGAGAGAGAGAGAGAGAGAGAGAGAAACCTTGTGAACTCTTTAGAGAGTTTTCTTGTATAGTGGCAGAGATGTACACTTCTGCATAGTGCAATAATGTACTTACTCATGCTAAACTTTTTATAAAAGTTTAGTTGTAAACTTAATCTTTTTATACAAAAGGGTTAAGTTTTATTTCAGAGGACAAGTGTTTTGATTTTTTTTATGTTATAACTGAGGCCAAATCAATACAAGTTCAAATTTATGTATAAAACATGTCTGGAGTAAAAAAATAAATAAGTATCAAAACTACAGTCACACATCACTGAATCTATTCTGAGGGATCACACAGGGATCTATTCTGAGAAATGTATAGTCAGGTGATTTCATTGTACAAACATCACAGAGTGTACTAAACACACCTAGATGGTACAGCCTACTGCACACCTAAGCTGTATTTAACAAACTACAAAAGAAAAACCATATGATGAGTTTGACAGGTCAAAAAAAATCATTTAACAAAAACTATGATAAAAATTTTCAGGAAATATGCCCTGGCCAGTTTGGCTCAGTGGTTAGAGCGTCGGCCTGCGGTCCAGAGAGACCCGGGTTCGGTTCCCGCTAAGGGCATGTACCTCGGTTGCAGTTTGTCCCCGGCCCTGGTTGGTCGTGCGGGTGGCAGCCACTCGATGTGTCCCTTTCACATCGATGTTTCTCTCTCGCTCTCTCTTCCTCTCTCTCCCTCCCACTCTATCTGTACAAAAAATGGAAAAATGTCCTCAGGTGAGGATAAAAAAAAAAAAAAAATTTTTCGGGAAATAAGAAAAAAAAAACCAACTTCCTCAACCTGATAAAGAGCATCTATAAAAAACCCACAACTGCCCTGGCCGGTTTGGCTCAGCGGTTAGAGCGTTGACCTGCGGTCCAGAGAGACCCGGGTTTGGTTCCTGCTAAGGGCTTGTACCTCGGTTGCAGTTTGTCCCGGCCCTGGTTGGTCGTGCAAATGGTAGCCACTCGATGTGTCCCTTTCACGTCTATGTTTCTCTCTCTCTTTCTTCTTCTCTCTCCCTCTCACTGTCTGAACAAAAAATGGAAAAATGTCCTAAGGTGAGGATAAAAATAAATAAATAGTTGGCCTGAGGACCAGAGTGTCCCGGGTTCAGTTCCCGCTAAGGGCATGTACTTCAGTTGCAGTTTGTCCCCGGCCCGGTTGGAGTCATGTGGGTGGCAACCACTTGATGTTTCTCTCTTCCTCCCTCTCTCCCTCCCGCTTTATCTAAAGATAAATGCAAAAATGCCCTCAGGTGAGGATAAAAAGAAACCAAAAAAACCCCACAACTGCCCTGGCCGGTATGGCTCAGTGGTTAAGAGCATTGCCCGCAGACCAAAGAGTTGAGGGTTCAATTCTGATCAAGGGCACGTGCCTCAGTTGCGGTTTGGTCCCTGGCCTTGGTCAGGGTCATTCTGAAGGCAACCAATCGATGTGTCTCTCTCACATCAATGTATTTCTCTCTCTCCCTTCCTCCCACTCTGTCTGAAGATAGATGGAAAAATACCCTCGGGTGAGGATTAAAAAATAAACAAACAAACAAAAAAAACCCACAGCTAACATCACAATTAAAAAATAAGAGTGAATGCTTTCCCCCAAAATTAGATATTAGGCAAGTTATGCATTTTCCCTCTCAACATTTCTAAGTGACAAGACTGGAAGTCCTAGACAGTGCAATTAGCCAGAACTGATGTTCGTAAAAGCAAACAATTTGGAAAGAAAAGTAAAACTGTGTTTGTAGACAATATAGTCATGGATGCATGTAGAAAATCTAAGAAATCTACCAAAAAAACTACTAGAATATAAGGTAAATATAAAAAAATCAACTGTATTTCTATGGACGAGCAACAAACAATTAAAAATATTTAAAAACCATTTACAACAGCATAAAAAAAATAACCTATTTTGGGTTAATTTTTATTTTTTTTAGTTTTTATAATTCTCACCCAAAGATAATCTTCCAATTATCTTCAGATAGAGTGAGAGGGGGAGAGAGAGAAAGAAACATCGACGTGAGAGAGACAAATCAATTGGTTGCTTCCTGCACAACCATGATCAGGGCCAGGGACTGAACTGCAACCAAAATACGTGCCCACGACCAGAATCAAACCCACGACTCTTTGGTCTGAGGGCTGACACTCTAAGCACTGAGTCAATCTGGCCAGGGCATATTTTGGATAATTTTTTTAAAATATGTGTAATACCTGTACACTGAAAGCTATAAAATAGTGCTAAACTTTTCTTAAGAGCTAAATAACTGGAAAACTATACTATATTTATCAACTGAAATATACAATAGTTTTAAAATGCCAATTCTTTTCAAATTGCTCTAGAGAGTCAATAAAATACCAATCCAAATCTGGCATTAATTTTTGTAAAAATTAACAAACTAATTTTAAAATAGATATTACAATGCAAAGGAACTGGAATAGTCAAAGCAAATTTTAAGTTGAAAAGCAGAGTTGAAGACAAACTACATGATTTCTAGATATTATAAAACCACAGTAATCATGACATATTGCTATTGATATAGGATGGGCAAATATAGCAATTGAACAGCACAGAGAGCTCAGAAATAGATTCATTTCATATATTGTCTACTAATTTTCATTGAAGATGCCATAGAAACTTAGTGGGGACAGAATGGTCTTTATAATAAATGATGCTGGAACAACTGGATATCCTCAAATAAAAAAACGAACTTCGATTCATATCTTGCACTTACACCAAAATTAACTCAAATGGATCATATACCTAAACGTAAAACCTAACACTATAAAATTCTAGTAGAAAATACAGGGCAAACTTTTGTGACTTTGAGTTAGGAAAATATGTCTTAGATGAGACACAAAAGTAGAATCCATAAAAGGAAATTTAGTAAACTGGACTTTATCAAAATTTTAAATTCTACTTTTTAAAAGGTACAGTGAAGAGAATGAAAACACAAGCCACAGACTGGGAGAAAATACAAATTATAAACCTGATAAAGAACATGTATCCAGAATATATAAAGAACTCTCAAACCTTAGTAAGAAAACAAACAACACATTTTAAAAAATAGCAAAAGAGTTGAACAGACTCTTCTGTAAAAATATACAATAGCACATGAGAAGATGCTCAATACCATCAATCACTAGAATTGAGATGCAAATTCAAACTATAAGATACCTCCATACCTATTAGGATGGTTAAAATTTTAAAACCCACAATACTACCCTGGCCAGTTTGGCTCAGCAGTTAGAGCGTCAGCCCGCAGACCAGTTCAATTCTGGTCTAGAGCACATACCTCGGTTTTGGTTTGGTCCCCGGCCCTGGTCAGGGTCGTTCGGGAGGCAACCAATCAATGTGTCCCTCTCACATCGATGTTTCTCTCCCCTCCCCCCAATCTGAAGATAAATGGAAAAATAGCCTCCGGTGAGGACTTAAAAAAAAAACCAACAATAACAACTGTTGGCAAGAATGTGGAGGAACCGGAACTCTCAACACTAACATTAGAAATGGGAATGGTGCAGACACTTAAGGAATCAGTCTGGCAATCTCTTAGAGTTAAGCACAGAGCTACTACATGATCCAGCCATTCCACTCCTGGGTATTGGCCCAAAAAATATGAAAGTACACACTCACACAAAGACCTGCATAAAAATATTCACAGGAACAATATTTGGAACAGCCCCAAACTGGAAATAACCAAAATATATACTGATAGGTAAAGAGAGAAACAAACTATTGTGCATCTATAGAACAAACTCTACTCCTCAATAAAAGGAATGAACTATTGATATGTGCAAGACCATGAATTTCAAAATAAGTATGTAGTGTGGAAAAACCCAGACAATAAAGAGTAAATACTATATGATTCTACTTACATACAATTCTAAAAAATGCAAACTAACTATAGTGCCAAGAAGTAAACCAGTAGTTGCCTAGGGGGAAGCCAAAAAAGGGTGGCAGGAGGTCTGACAAAGGGATACAAGAAAACTTTTGAGTCTGGCCAGTGTGGCTCAGTGGTTGAGCATAGACCCATGCACCAAGAGGTTGCCGGCTCAATTCCTGGTCTAGGCACATGCCCAGGTTGTGGGCCCTATCCCCAGTGAGGGGCATGCAGGAGGAGGCCAATCGATGTTCTCTCTCATCGATGTTTCTATATCTCTCTCCCTATCTCTTCCTCTCTCTCTAAAAATCAATAAAAGAAAAAAAAAAAAGAAAACTTGCGGGCTGGATGTGTTCACTGTCTTAATTGTACCAATGGTTTCACAGATGTATACGTATCTTAAAACTTATTGCACACTTTAAATATGTGCAGTTGATTACATGTCAACTATACCTCAACTAAGCTCTTAATTTTTTAAAAATATAAAGAGTAATAAATCAAATAAAAATCTAACCAATGAAAAGCCTGCTTCATGTTGACTCAGTATTTTCTTTTTCATTTGAACAAGGAACTAAAAAACTTCAACAAAATCCTACTGCTCTGAAGGATCAAAATACCTGTTCAAAGCTTAGATCTGAGAGCCTCTGGAGTTTTCTGCAATTCAAATCCAGCACATTGCAAAGAAAACTTCACATGACTTTGATAAAAGACATTAGAACTGTTTCTAAAGGAAATGGTATTAAGCAGGACACTGAAATTGCACTGACAGCAGCAGGCCTGCACATTGGGAACTGTAAGTGCTACTGTACCCATTTCAGAGGCTGCCAAGGACAGTGAGTGCAGGGACTGCTGTGTTGCAGGCAGAGGTGCACTTAACACTCAGACCTGCTCTGCTGAACACACTGTGTCCAAATAAAAACTCTATGCTTCTCATTTTCCTACAATATTGTAGATCCAAACTCCTTTCACATCCCATTTAAATTTGGAGGTTTTCTCCTCCTTGGTCCCCTGAACCAATTCCACAGATATTTCTAATCATTTCTGTACCTGGTGCTTTCTGTGATAACATGCACTGCACACACTAGTCTCAGTTTATGTGCACTGAAGTGTTCTAACTGCTGATTGGCTCAAGTTTGCTATAGTGAGTACACTAAGGGATGCTTAGTACCTGAAAAGAACTTGTGCTCAGCTGCATCAAAAGGAGAAAGAAAGACATGCTCACCACCCGCCGTGTCCAGAAGGCGCCCACTGCACCCCCGAGGAATGCCTCTCACAGAGGCTGGCTGTGGACGCTCACAGTGCGAATACTCCACAAGGCCAGTGGTGACATCAGGAGGGGCAGAGTGCAGATCTGCTTTTGAAAAACAAACCCAAAGCAAAAGTGTTGTTAATTCAAAGACCATTAAGTTGCTGTTTAAACCCCATTTGAGTGAAGCTTCTCTAGCTGAGCTCTAAACAAGGAGTGTGGTATTACAATTAATTTTGTTTTTCTGATTAATCAAGGCACACAGGGACCCTATGAACTCTCAGATCCCAGACATGGCATATAAACCTGTATGCATGAGGACTATCCATTTCCCAAGGGGAACTAGACTAGAACCACTGACCACAACACAGACACAGGTGCAAGTGGACTCACTTTCCACATAAGGTTTTACTCAGAAATCTCCCTCGATGAAGCATAAACACATTTTAAATCTAATTGTTATTGGACCATTTTTTTATTATGAAAAAAACAGACCACCCCTCACAACCACAAAGAGTATATTAGATGTCCCGAAGATAAAGACCTTTGCAGGCTTCAAAGAATAAACCTACAAAGATGAAAACTACCCTCATGGCCAGTTCAACACATCTCATTGTTAAAAGACTACAACAAGTTCTTAGAACAGAATGTATTCATTTAAAGACAAACTAGTTAGATACAGAAAATGTTTAAAGTCACTCCCTTCCACTGTCTGAAGATAAATTTTTGTGTTGAATTTTCACTGTATGGCATATTGATCTGTTCGGAATGTTGGCTGACTGTAAGTTGCTACTGCATTATTGTTACAGTTGAGTCTCCCACTAGGAAAGGCACCATGTCTGCAGAACGACCAGAAATTGTGCTTTCCTATGACACTAGAGCAAATATTTGCCCACTTGTGAGATCAATATTAGCCTGTCAGTAATAACCTATAATCTGTTTAATCTTCTAATGAATGCTCCTGCCATCACAGATGGCACGCTAATATTTAAATTTTTAATTCTGATCATTTAGCTATCAGTTAATAGCCTAGGCAGAAATTTTTAAAATATGTAGAAAAATGAAATTATATGGAAGCACAACACAGTCACTATTTACACAGCAGAAAATACCATTTGGAAAAATCTAACTTTAATTAGAGTTTTCATAACCCCTGAAAAAGTTTAATGTTGATGAAATTAGCAAATTAAGTTCTTTCAGTTTAAAAAGAAATTTCCCCATCTTTCAAAATCTAGCAAAGAGCCCTGGCCAGTTTGGCTCAGCGGTTAGAGCGTCGGCCTGCAGTCCGCAGAGACCCGGGTTCGGTTCCCGCTAAGGGCAGGTACTTCGGTTGCAATTTGTCCCCGGCCCTGGTTGGTCGTGCGGGTGGCAGCCACTCGATGTGTTCCTTCACGTCGATGTTTCTCTCTCTCTCTCCCTTCCTCTCTCTCCCTCCCACTCTATCTGTACAAAAAACAAACAAACAAACAAACAAAAATCTAGCAAAGAGAATAAATGACTTTTACAGTATTAATGAAAAAGGCGTAATGGTAATCTTAACTAAAAGTAGTTTTTAAAATAGTTGCATGAAAATAAGCAAACTACATTAAAAATAAAAAATTAACTACTATAACTAAAAATACTATTTTTAAATATATGTATTTACATTTGTGTCCAAATGTTTTATGTAGGTGATTTCCTTAATCCAAAATTAAAATTATATATTTTAAAAATTACCTTTACCTAATATATGCTACCTCAAAATTTTTACCTAAATATTCTTGTTCTTTCTGTATTTCTTTCCTTAATCCAAATGGAAGAATTCTCTAGTGTTAGACACTAAAACAAAGAATGATGTTTATAATAAAACAGAGAGAAATTGATATCTTCACATTCAGAAATCCAAGCAATTATATCCAGCAAACATTAGCATATGAATGCTATAATCACAGTATGGTATTAAACAGAGCCTAAGTCAAAACTTTTAGAACTTACTAGAATTAATCACAATGTGTACTTGAGGCCAAGGGAGTGGAGTGGGAGATAGACAAGGCTCAGCCACACCAGCAGAGGCCAGGACTCCTCATGGAGAGGCGATGCACCCACCTCATGAATAATCATAGTCAGGGCCTCTCTGAGAATGAAAGCATCTCACTCAAACACACTTGCAGTCACGTGTTTTGTTAAAAAACTCACAACCACTGGAAAGTCGAAGGCTATCCAGTTAAACATTCTGACCTGTGGGCAATTTTACAATACATCAGTGAAAAAACTTTTCAAGCTACCAACTGTCAATTTCCTTAAGGAAAGCTGGGCAGAAACCACTGTCCATTGGTAGGACACTCAGGAAAGCTACCAAAACAATCTGGGCAGGCTATTTTAGAAAAGGGCCTTTTCTTGTGAAACATGCTGCTCTGGGGCAGCCCTGACAGCTGCCCTGCCACCCAGTGGTCTCTGTGTACTGGAAGCAGAGCGTGCATGTGAGTTCTCACCTACGAGTCCCATTACGGTAGAAAACACATGCTCAACAGAAACATGCTTCGTGCACTGATGCAACAAATTTAAAACGAAGAGCATCAGTGCTGTGCCCACAGAGGACAGTGAGACTAAAGCTGTCGGTCACTTAAAACATCCAATTTACTCCCAGTCCAGCCAACCAATGTACTCTCAGTGCAGCCAAATGACCAAGCTTTTACATGAAGAAGCTCAGCACTTGAGCCCACAGCCTGCCTGCTGTGATTCCACTGAAAACACCAGCCTGTCACGGGTGCACTGTTTCAGTGTTAGCAGAACAGCAACTAACAGCAAAGAAAATGAAAAGGAATCAAGAAAACTGTCAGCCTGGCTTCCACATTAAGCCAGCTGTGCAATCTCAGGTCAGTTACAATCAACCTAACTTTCTGTCCTCCCTCCACATCTAGAAAACAAAGGGGCTACAATCACACTTTTTTTTTTAGTTCTTTGCATTTATCTTCAGATAGAGCGGGAGGGAGAGAGGGAAGAAGAGAGAGAGAGAAACATCGATGTGAGAGAGACACATCGACTGGCTGCCACCCACTCGACCCCAACCGAGCCAGGGACAAACTGCAACCGAGGTACGTGCCCTTAGCGGGAACCGAACCCAGGACTTTCTGATCTGCGGGCAAACGCTCTAACTGCTGAGCCGAACTAGCCAGGGCTACAATCACACTTTTTAAGGTGCTCGTGCAAGAATGAAAGTATGTGCACATCACATGCCAGCTATGCATAGTTAATGATGCTACTATTTCTGTTTAAAAAGAAATGTGGCCCTCGCTGGTTTGGCTCAGTGGTTGGAGCGTGAGCCCGTGAACCAGAGTTGTGGGTTCGATTCCGGTCAACAGCATGTACCTCAGTTGCAGTTTGGTCCCCAGCCCTGGTCAAGGTTGTGTGGGAGTAACCAATCGATGTGTCCCTCTCATATCGATGTTTCTCTCTCTCTCTCTCCCTCCCTCCCACTCTATCTGAAGATAAATGGAAAATATCCTTGGGTAAGAATTTTTTTAAATATTTTTATTGATGTTTTAGAAAGAGAGGAAGGCAGAGGGAGAGAGAGATAGAAACATTAATGACAGAACATCAATCGGCTGCCTCCTGCACATCCCCTAGTGAGGATTGAGCCCACAACCTAGGCATGTGCCCTGACTGGGAATCAAACCAGTGATCTCTTGGTGCATGAGGCAATGCTCAATCCACTGAGCCACACTGGCTGGGCCTCAGGTGAGGATTTAAAATAAAGAAAGAAATGTGCCTGGTGGTGTTCCTCAGTGGTTAAGCATCAACCTAGGCACCAAGAGGTCACTGGTTCAATTCCTGGTCAGGGGACATGCCTGGGTTGTGGCTCAATCCCGAGAAGGGGTGTGCAGTAGGCAACCAATCAATGTTGATGTTTCTCTCTCATCGATATTTCTACCTTTCTCTCTCCCTTCCTCTCTCTAAAATCAATAAAAAATATATTAAAAAAAAAAAAAGAAATGTGATTTCAAATAATGAAAGGTTTGTAATTTCTTCCTAAGATTAATGTAATTTAAAGATTAGATGATTTGGAAAAGTTCTATGCATCTTTATGACTTAGCTTTGACTGACATCCCTATTCAGGTTGAGGGGTTTGTTTAATCTGGACCTCCCAAGCACAAAGACAACTAATGAACTCCAACTGTGCACACAAGCAAAGAGCAAAGGTAGAGATAATGTCAAAATTGCAAGCCAAAGGTGACTATCAGGGGCAACCATGGTCACGTCTAAATGTTCGTTTACCCTGTACCTGCCACCGTTGCCAGCCCACTCTCCAGAACAGGAGGAGGCACACATCAAGAGGCACCATGCACTTCTCTTGGTCCACGGGGAAGGCCCACATGCCACGGTGTCTCGAATCACCAAACCATAGAAGCATCAAGAACTACATTTGTTATCAGAAAGCCATCTTCCAGATGAAAAAAAGAAGATGGGTCTTGATGGGCGTAGAGGCACCCCTGTCCTAGAGGGGCCACAGCAGCTGTTACTGACCTATGTGAGTGTGGGCCGCGGGGCCTGTGAGCACGGCAGCTGGTCTCCCTCCCGGGTGAGATGAGGTGGAAGATGCGGAGGATGAGGTGGACGAGCCCTGAATGACCCGGTCGAGCCAGGGCTCGACGCTGGAATGGCTCTGGAGCGGAGTGGAGGTGAGTCGCCCGGGTCGCCGTAAAGAGCCCTCATCTTCTGAGGCAGATGACGTGTCTGTGGTTAAAATAATGATGACAGGCATGATGTAGGGATGGGTCACCAAGGAGGGCGGGTTCCCACACTGGTACCTGGGCCTCCCAGCCTGTAGCGCGCTGCTCTGTATACCTGCATAACTGTACCCACATGGCCAATGGGTCATCTCAAAGGTTGCCCTCAATATAGAAGGGTCTGAATCAACTAACTGTAAGATCCAAAGGACCCTACCTGGGAAGACTGGCTTCATGACCCCAGCTTCCCCCAGGGGACTTAGTCTAGGGTATCACACACTGGGAGTGAAGACAGGCCCAACTCCTAAATGGCTTCAGTACATTCCTCAGTGGGGTCCCAAATATCAAAGAAGACTCCAAGTGTCAAGTGCTCTGTGAATATCCAGTGTTGCTACGGAACATCCACTCTAAGCTCCACACCTTTACATGGCTGGACACACTCCAGGAAAGGTTGAGCTCATCTCCCGAGGAAGCATGGGGACTGTAGGGGTTGCAGCCTACATGCCTCCAGGCCTCAACCTGTTCATCTGTATCCTCAGGGAAAGCAGGAATGAGCTCTGTAAAGAATTCCTTCCCCAAGACAACTGCTTTAGTCAATAAAATTAACCATTAATAAGGTTCTATCAAGTCTGTATGACTGTGCACTTTATTATAAGTTTCAAATTATTTTAAAGTTCTTCAGAAATTGAGTAGTATCTATAATTATATTTAGTAGAAAGAATAATTTGGCAGCCACTTCTAAGATTTTTTTCAACAGCATAAACTTTTTTCTTTTTTATCAAGGAAGCATTACAAGAGGCACTAAAAGTAAAATTAAAAAACCCTCTGGATAGTCTTCTTCTCTCCTATTTACAGCTTGGTAACAACAAAGTAATTAAGTGAATATTTTAAAAATTCTTAATCCATGAAACCTTTGCATTCCACCAAGTACTCCTTTTAGGTTCTTCTCTTCCTTAAAAGACATAAATAGCATCTTAGTAAAAAACCTAAAATCTATTCAGAACGCCCTGTAGAAAACAATTATTTGTTTGGGTAAGAGCCATACCACAAATTTTGAGGTAAGGAATACTGCACATTTACAAACAATTTTAGTCTCCATTTTTCCAACTCTTTACTACAGGTCAGAAAGATATTCCTACTCAGTGGGAAACGAAGTTATGACACCAAGCATGTGAAACACCTGTGGGCCATTCCTGACCCAGTTTTATCAGTACCTGGTGGGGTGCAGGTTTCCACAGATGAATGCACAAGAACCGACCGTCTTTTTGAAGGCAGAGGCACCTTCCTCTCCTTGTATTTGGCCAAAGCTGCTTGCACGGCTTCTGTGTGAACATCTACATAGAAATAGCAGTAAAAACACTTTTCACAATATTGGTTATGGAGTAACAAAATTTAGTTTCATGGTTTTCATTGACTCTCTACTCGTGGGTCCCACATATTGGTCCTAGATTTCTTTAAATATTCCTTTGTTTGCAGATTTGACTTCTGAACCCTGTGACTATTTTTCTCAGTTATAAATAAAAACTAAATAAAAAAGAAATCCCCCAAATTGAAAATAAGATTAAACAAATTAATTTAAATGTGTCTCCAGTAGTTGACATAAACTACTCCAAATGACTTTAATCTGTTCCTCTAGAGAAACATACTAAGGATGAAAAAAAGTGCATTAGACTACTTTTGTACATTTAAATTTTTTATCCAACAAGATCATTTTAAAACATTTTAAAATCTTACAGTAAATGGCTGATAAAGTGCTAATCGAGGAAGATAAAATATTTACACCTAGACGTATTAAAATAAAATTTATAAACATCAAAAGCAACAAGACAAGTTGAAAAGCTTTCAGAGGATAAACCATCTTGAAGGATCAAGAAATAGAGGAACATTACTCAATAGTAACCACCAGCTGCAAGAAGGTAACATGGTATCAAGGAAAAAGTTTTGAACCTACAATTTTATATCCAGCCAAATTATCACTGGACCACAGAGTCTAATAAAAATATTCCTAGACATAGAAGTGGAACACTCATGGAAAACAGTGCTTAAGGGAGAAACAAATCCAGAAGCCCTTACAATAGATACAGCAGTGACTATGAGCACACTTTTTTTTTTTTTTTTTTTACTTTTCTTTTCTTTATTGATTTTTAGAGAAAGAGAAAGGGAGAAGAAGACAGAAACATTGATGAGAGAGAACATTCACTGGCCGCCTCCTGCATGCCCTACACTGGGAATCGAGCCCATAACCTGGGCTTGTGCCCTGACTGGGAATCAAACCGGCGACCTCTTGGTGCATGGGTCAATACTCTAGCACTGAGCAACACCTGCCAGGCTGAACACACACTTTTAAACTTGATTAGTGTCTTAAAAACAAACAGAAACAGATATAACAACCCAGAACTAAAAAATCTAGACAATATTAAAACAACAGATTTAAGACGCTCAACAAAACACAAGAAATATAAAGAAAACTACACCAGGGCACATCATAATCAAATCACTCAAAACCAGTGATAAAGAGAAACATCTTAAAAGTTGCAGAGGAAGAAAGACACATTAAATACATAGGAACAACGAAAAGAAACAAACTTGGAGGACTAACACTACTAATTTCAACAATTATTATTATTCTACAATCACTGAGAATATAGTTTTCCATAAAGATGGACGAATACATCCATAGAACAGAATGGAGTCCAGAAATAGAGCCACACATTCATGTGACTGCTTTCAGACAGTGTATGCTCCACAAACTGAATATCCACATGCAAAAAATAAGTTCTGATCCATATCCTGAACTCATGAAAATTAACTAAAATATGAACTATAGGCCTAAAGGTAAAACCTTAAAACTATAAAACTTCTAGAAAAAACATAGGTGAGAATCTTTATGACCCTGGGTTAGGCAAATATTTCTTAGACACAAGAACAAAAGCACTATCCACTTAAAAGAACTGATAAGTTGAACTTCATTAAAATTTAAAACTTTTGCTCTTCAAAGCCACTTTAAGAGAATGCAAAGACAAGACAAAACTTAAGAGAAAATATTAGAAAACCATATTTACAATAAAAGTCTTATATTCAGTAAATAAAGAATCAGAACTAGAATAAAGTTCACAAAGGCAGAGAACAGTTTATTAATATCAGCTACATAGAAATGGATGGTGAGGAAGATGAGGGCAGGGAAATAAGGAAGACAGGAAGGTGAAGGAAACCCTTTACGTAATACCATTCATGGACTGTGTACATGTGTGTGCGTGTATTTGCCTCCAGGGCTGAAGAAGATGGTGTTCAGTGAAATGCTGAGAGCTCTTGTCTTGGGATTCAAAGACTTCAGGTGACTTTTACTATTGTCCTTACACTTGATATAATACTTTATACTACATGTATTATTTATATTATCAGAAAAGAAACAATTATCATGTGACAAAATTTTTTAAATGTATATTAAGTTGATCCAGCTGGTGTAGCTCGGTGGTTGAGCATCAACCCAGGCATCAAGAGGTCACCGGTTCAAGTCCCAGTCAAGGCACATGCCCAGGTTGTGGGCCTGATCCCCAGTAGGGGGCATGTAGGAGGCAGCCAACTGATGTTCTCTCTCACTGATGTTTCTATCTCTCTCTCCCTCTCCCTTTCTCTCTCTCTAAAAATCAATAAAGAAAAAAAATGTTTAATGTATATTAAATTGGTAAGAAATTATCTAATCAAAAATTTCTCAAATCGCTTCATAACATTCCCTTGTTGATATAACATTTAAAATTGTAATGTTCTTTCTAGATATTCTTAAAACAAAGTGGCATTTTTTTTTAAAATATTAAAATTTTATTTTAAATTACAATTTATATTCAATATTATTTTGTATTAGTTTCAGGGGTACAGCATATTGGTTAGACAATCTTATACTTTACAAAGTGTACCCCCTATTGCCCGGAATTTCCAGTACCTGTCTTATACCATAGTTATTACAATATTACTGACTATAATCCCTATGCAGTATTTCCATCCCAGTGACTATTTTATAACTACTAATGTATACTTCTTTTTTTTGTTTGTTTGTTTTTTGGTACATGATCCTAGCGGGAACCAAACCCAGGACTCTCTGGTCCACAGGCCAATGCTCCAACCACTAAGCCAAACCAGCCAGGGCACTAATATGTACTTCTTAATACCTTCATCTTTTTCACCCAAACCTCCACCCCTCAGCAACCATCAGTCTGTTCTCTGTTTCTATGAGTCTGTTTCAATTTTGTTCATTTATTCTGTTCTTTAAATTTCACATATAAGGGAAATCACAGGGTATTTGCCTTTCTCTGACTGACTTATTTCACTTAGCACAATATTCTCTAGGTCCATCCATGCTGTCACAAATGATAAGATGTCATTCTTTTTTTATGGCTGAGTAACAAACAGTCCACTACATATACAGGGTGGGACAAAAGTAGGGTTACAGTTGTGAGTACACAGAACACAGAGGTTTTACTCTTGTATTATTATTTATTAATTACTGTATTATTTTCCATATGAACTACTGCCTACTTTTGCCCCACCCTGTATGTACCACTTTATCCACTCATCTTTTGATGGGCACTTGGGTTGCTTCCATATCTTGGTTATTGCAAATAATGCTGCAATAAGCATAGGGATGCATATATTCTGTCGAATTAGTGTTTTGGGTTTTTCCAGATATATGCCCAGAAGTGGAGTCACTGAGTCATAAGGCAATTTGATTTTTAATTTTTTGAGGAACCGCCATACTGTTTTCCATACTGGCTGCACCAATCTGTATTCCCACCAACAATGTAAGACAGTTCCCTTTTATCCATATCCTTGCCAACACTTATTGTTTGTGGATTTATTGAAAATAGCCATTCTGACAAGTATGAGGTGATATCTTATAATGGTTTTAATTTGTATTTCTCTGATGATTAGTGACATTGAGCACCTTTTCATATGTCTATTGGCTATCTGTATGTCCTCTTTGAAGAAGTGTCTATTCAGGTCCTCTGCCCATTTTCTAACTGGATTGTTTGTTTGTTTTTAGTTTTGAATTGTATGAGTTCTTTATAAATTTTGGATATTAACCCTTTATTAGAGAAATCATTGGTGAGTATCTTCTTCCCTTCAGTAAGTTGTCTTTTCATTTATTGACAGTTTCCTTTGCTGTGCAAAAACTTTTTAGGTTCAGGTAGTCCCATCTGCTTATGTTTTCTTTTGTTTCCTTTGCCAGAGAAGGTATATTAGAAAAAAATATTGCTACAAAAAATGTCTGAAATTTTACTGCCTATGTTTCCTTCTAGAATTTTTATGGTTCCAAGTCTTACATTTAAGTCTTTAATCCATTTGATTTTATTCTTGTGTATGGTGTAAGAAGATGGTCTAGTTTTGAGAAGATAGAGGCAGGTTATGCAGTGAGGGATGGGACCATGGGAAGGGGAGGCTGAGACAGGTAGGAAGTTTGAGATGACGTGGAGCTCAGCACACAGGCAGGCAAGCCAGTATACAGCACATCTAGAGGTTCAGTTGGCCCCTATCTCTCAAAATAAAATCAAATTCAACATGGGCATTGTGCTCCCAGGACCAAAACTCCCAGCCCCCATTTACAGAAATGCAAATTAGCTCTGGGAAGGAGCACAGGTCCATTACATAACAAAAACAAACAAACAAAAAAACCCAGAATGGCTGGTTTCAAGCAAGGCAACAGGATTGCTAAAGGAGTTCTGGGAAACTACAGTGTGTAGTTACAGAAAGCCAGGTCACCTTAAAAAGGATTACAGAAATCCAAAATTGGATTTAGAAAAGAAACCAACAGCACATACCTTATAGGGTTGCTCCAAGGTCATTTCCCCTCCTCCTCACTAATAGTCTGGGAGAAGTTGAAATTATCAAAAAAAGGAAAGCTACTAAGGCCCTTATAGATGACCTAGGGCTGAACCTAGTTAGGAGGGACACACTGTAAAATGTATGGATGTCCCTGGTCAGTTTGGTTCAGTGGTTAGAACTTTGGCCCTCGGACCAAAGAATGGCAGGTTGGATTCCGGCCAAGGGCAGGTACCTTGGTTGCAGTTCATCCCAGGCCTTGTCTGGAGTTGTGCAGGAGGCAACCAACTGATGTGTCTCTCTCACATCAATGTTTCTCTCTCTCTCTCTCTCTCTCTCTCTCTCTCTCTCTCTCTCTCTCTCTTTCTCCTTCCCTCCCTCCCTCCTCATATTCTATTTGAAGATAAATGGAAAAATATCCTCTAGTGAGGATTAAAAAAAAAAAAAAATGTATGGATGTTGCTAAGGCAGAATTCCTTGAAAGGACCAATCAGAGGCTACCAAGACATATATCTATCCC